TTTGAGCGGAGCCCTCGCCACGCTTTCGCCGAGCTCCATCGACGAGCGAGGGTTTATCGGCGTCAAGCCAACGCTCCAGATTGTTGACGAGCGGTTCCCGAAAGTATTTGCGATCGGGGACGTGGCAGCCACTGGCGCGAACAAGAACGCGCGGTCGGGGTTCGCGCAGGCGGCGGTTGCAGCGGAGAACATCAAGGCGATGATTCGAGGAGAGGCAGCGGTGCAGCAATACGAACCGAGTCCCTTTGCTATCCACATGTCTGTCGGGCTGGTGAGTGGTTCATATGCTTCCGTTCATCAATACTTACGACGGCCACAGTGGTCCTGGATCTTGTTCAGAAATCCTCCGACTTTAGATGAAGAGCCCTTTGTTGAGTCGCAGAATACGGAGGAGTATAAAGGTACGGCAGAGGGCGACGTCAAGTTTGAGATGGGTTGTAGGCGCCTTTGGGCGTTGAGGGCGCCAGGGGTAACGGATTACGATGTCTAGATGGTCTACGTCTAATTGTAAACATCAAACCGGAACCTCTTCAATCTTTTTATCCAATTTCTCGTGCTTTACCGATTCGGCCAAGTTGGTGGCCATGGAATTAGCAACGCTGAGATATGTGTCTGATAGAAACAAGTCAAACGAAGGGATTCGGTGCCGCGTAAACAACTTACTCCAGAATAAACTGACGACACTGACGAAGACGAAACGCAAGTGCGGCGGAACGATCGAAAAGTTGATCACTTGTGCAGGTACGAAGACGGCCCTGTGCATTATGTTAGTCTTGGAAGATAAAGAGAAGGGGTTTGGGCCACATACCAATTGCGAAGGAGGGTCGGAACGTAGCCCTAGTTAAATTGGAAACTTGTCTTGAAAACAGAACGGGAAATACACTTACTGCACCGATTCTAGGGATAGCTTCCTTGGGCTTGCCTTCCAGCAAAGCCATAGAACCGAAAAAGACGACGACGGCGCCGGGAGTCAACACGCATTGGTCAAGCCATACCTGAAAAGGGCTGAATGTCCATACTAGAAGAGAGCGATAGCAAGTACACGATAGACGACAGCTTTGGTCGGACTCTTGAATTGGATTCTGTTCAAGAACTGGAACCATTTGGTGATCGCCGGTCCGAAGACTGCGCCTAGAATACGAGAGGTTTGTCCAAAGTTGGGTGTGTCACGGCTCACGTACCGCCGTAAAAGGTGAGGCGAGCCGTCCGAGCGAACTGAAGATAAGTTAGCATGAAACGACGGGAATGGGCTGCAACGTACATCGTGCTCCCGCCCTCTACGCTCCACCGCCTGCTGGGCGATCACGTCGCCAGCGCCGAAGAGGAGGGCGGCGGTGCCACACTGAGCAGCCATTGGCCGACGGAGCAGCAAGGCACTGTGTAAAGACGGTCAGATACATCCAATTCCAGTGGGATGAACGGACTTGTAGGCCCTCAAGAAGGAAGCCATCGTGTGGAGAAAAAGAGCAGCCGTGATCCGATTGTCGGCCGAACGCGCGATCCGGAATCAATTCTCGATCGACAACCACGGTTTCCAGCTCTACCTGCACGATAACGCAGTTTCCGATCCAAGTTTTTTTTAGAAAACCTTGGGAAAACCTCCACAGGCTTGGACAGACTCTTAACCGGCCGCAAGGTGATACTGGTTGAATCCTGTACCTGGTAATCACATCAGATTTTTCGCCACCATTCAATTTTGCCAAGAGCTCTCAAGTCGCCTCCTTCGCATGACGACAGTCGACTCTTTTCATGCGGCATTGTCCCGATCTAGCATATCTTAGCGGCGAACGTTGCACATGCATGTGTTGCGGAGTAAGATCATGTCGTATTCGTGCCTCTCAGGAACAAGATTTTCGCAAAACTTGGGCCAATTTGAAAGCTTGGGTCCGTTTCCACGGGCCAGGAGGCGTCGAGCTATTGCCGCATGAGGAGTTGTTCCACATCAAACAATATTTCCAACCTGCTGATCACCTACATCAATGATTTACTCCCTCTACTTCCTTTAAGAATGGCCCAGCGGGCGTTCACTTATAACTACCCTCCGTCTTCGCCTCGCCTCACCACCCATGCCGTCCTTCCCCGCCGCGTCCGGAGTCATCACCCGTTTCTTCATAGAAACCTTCCTCTTTGGCATCTACCTCGTTCTCTTCCTGACCGTCCTCTATTTGAAGCTGGTCCGGAGCAACGACCGCCATCGTACCGCCTCCTTCTGGGTCCTCATTGGTCTCATTATCCAGTGGTGTCTCATATTTGCAGTACGTCGTAATTTTCCATTGCCGATTTACACAGAGATGAACTGTCCTCGCAGCATTGGATTGATACAATTCACGAGACTTACCACTCGTTCGTCACTCTGAGCGGTGGTCTCGAGGCGACACTTTACTGGAGTAACATTGCGAGGCCGACCTCGCTACTGCAGATTACAACCTTCATTCTAACCCATATCATTACGGATACGCTTGTGGTAAGCCCTTGTCTGGCGTCCGTTTCCCGACCCTCACTATGCACTTTCCCAGATCCAGCGCCTTTTTGTGATCTTCTCTCGCACATATCTTCCTATCGCCGTTCCTGTGGCCCTTCTTATGGGCCAGATCGGTGCGTCGACCTCTTCGACCCACAGCGTCCTTGACTCACAGATCGTCACTAGTCGCTGGCAGCGGTCTTATCAACGTCTTTGCACACCCCACGCGAGAGTCTCTCACCGTCTTGGCTCTCCACGTCTTGTCCAATGGTTGGGTGACCAGTACATTGGTCTTGTCTATTGCGTGCGTTTCCGTCGTCTCGCTCAATGTCCTGCTCAATTGGAGATCTCCAGTATCAGCTTCTACAGCACGGCCGCGATATCGTGGAAGATTTGGTCCATCCGCAGGGGTCTCATTGGCACCAAACTCCAGACTTACGGTCCCGACCGCATGAGTGTCATGGTAGCTCTTCTTCCTTTTCAAGCCCATCACTGCAGCTGATACTCTGCACAGTTTTTCTTTGCTGTCTTCGTTGAGAGTGCTGCACTACAAGCGTCCGTCTTCCTTTTCCCTTCCTCTGCCTCGCACTGACGCGTGTACAGGGCGACTGCTATCGTGCTCCTCGTTTTATTCCAGGTCGGGGTCGCCGGTCAGGCTGTACTCATGCCCGTCACACCTGTGATATACGGGATCTCCACAATTTCCATCCACGTCCGCGTTTCACTTGGGTACAGCAATGAGCCGCGCACGCAACCGACCATGTCGCTGTCCCAAAACAACGCCGCACGCATCAACTTCACCACTACCACCCAGACTGACGATATGTACACGGGTGGTCGGCGCCGCGGCGACGAGGAGCATGCTCTGGCGGTGTATGGAGAGGCAAAGTGATCGTTCTATGTAGAAGCGTCGATTTGTATTGCGTGTTGTGTAATTCGGTTCTTATGGTTATTTTTTGGAAATGAGAGGCAATCCGGAATGAGTTGGCGATCCGTCGGCTACGATGCTTCTTGGGCGGCGCGGTATCAATGGAATACGATAAAGATTGGCGATAGTGGACATCTGATTGCGTACATCTTAAGCAAATCATTTAGCCACCAACTCTGCAGGCATGTTTCCACCCAGAACCCCCGCGACCAAATTATCAATTGCCCGTGTGGCCATGTCCATGCGCGTCTGAAAAGTCGCGCTCCCAATGTGCGGTACGATAACACATCTGCGGGAAAATCGTATCAATTTCGCAGATGCTACTGTGATTATACGCACCTTGGTTCCTTGACCAGCGGATGGTCCGCACTGATTCGCGGTTCTCCCTCGAGCACGTCGATTCCTGCGCCCCAAATCCACTTTTCACGTAGTGCAGTGGCAAGCGCGTCTGCGTCCACAACGGTCCCGCGGCTGAGAGGTATTAGCGGTCATTTCTTAGAATCAAAGATACATGTATACCCAGTGTTAACGAGAACGCTCAGCGGCTTCATTTTGCGCAGAAAGACACTGTCAACGAGGTGGTAGGTGTCCTGCCCACCGGGTGTAAGGACGAAGAGGATGTCACTCTCGCGGGCGAGGCGGTCAAGAGACGCGTGCTCGACGGCGGCCAAGCGGTGTTTCTCGCGAAGAGCAGTGTCGCGGGCAGAGTCGGGCGCAGAGGTGGACCGGCCCGTGTAGAGGACGTGGGTGATGCCAAACGGGATGAGACGAGCGAGTGTCGCCTGGCCGATGCGACCGAAGCCGAGGAAGCCGACAGTACGTGAGGGCGACGAAGAGGTTGTGCTGAGCTGCGGCCCACAGAAGGTAAACGGGGACCAATTGAACTTGGGCCACTGGGGAACGATTATGGATGAAAGGGGATGGATAGGGCGAGACGTACGTCACCAGACTTGACGAGTGAGTAGGCCACCCCATCGTTGCGCCCGGCCATGAGGGCCAGCATGACCTTGTTTAAACAATAAGTTGCTTTTCAAATTCACAAAAGTATAAAGGACTCCACTGAGAGATCCGCCACAGCTTCGGTGAGTACGTCGGGTGTGTAACCGACGCGAATATTCCGTTTTGCCATGAGGGGAAGGTCGATGTGGTCAGTTCCAACAGACATGGTAGACACAACGCGGAGACTTGGGCCAGCTGTTTCATTTCAGGGCAGAGAAAGAGCGGTTCCCAGAGAACGGACCTGCATCCAAAAGTTCCGCGTCTACCTGGCACAATCGTTTGCGACAGAGAGGAAAGGTATTGCAGCACTTGCCATCTCTTGAAGGAGGACCAGCACTCCAGTCGCGCCCTTGATATTCTCAAGGAGCCAGGCGCGAGTGCACGCGCTATCCTCTCCCCACACGACGAGCTGGTACTCATTCAGCCAGTGTGATAAGACTGGAGATAGGACACACGTCGAGGTCGGTGCGGTCCATGAGCAGCGGCATGGCCGGTCCAAGGTTCCTGCATATCACGACTTTAGGTTTCGAGGAAGTGAGGTGCGACATGACCGAGGATAGCCGCTGATTAGAGCTATTTGGCATGGAGGTCAGAACGAGGCGCAAAAAAGAACTCTCTGCCTGGGAGTCGAACCCAGCTTTCGCGCGGCCACAGAGCAAATGACAGGCGCGTGTACTAAACCAATATACTAGCAAAGAACTTGAAGTTGTTGAGCTACCAAGGATGTCAAGGGGTCACCCCTGAGCTCTGCTTTACTTAAATGTCCTCGGTATTTGTTTTCCCGCTACGTTTCGATTCCATGCGCTGGTGACGACTCGGAATCGATTTTTTTTGCTTCCCTTTTCGCCCCGGACGGCTCTCGATCAGACTTTGCCATAAAAGGGTGGATTTGTCAGCACGCAAGACCTCGTTTCATCAGCACTTTTGCTCGACCACCTTTTTTGTGTCTTGTCTTCGCCTGGGCTGCCGCTAAAAACCCCTAAAAACACTCGTCTGCTCTCGCTCGCTCCCACCTTTTCTGCCCGCGATGCCTTCTGCAGATCGAAGCGACTCGCCCGATGACCGAGAAAAGGACGAAGGTAGAGGAGGAGGCAAGAAGTCTGCAGGCTCCAAGGGTTCGTCTCTCCCCACTCATCCTGCGCCCAAACTCACTCTTTTTTTTTCATCCGCAGCAAAAGACTTGTCTCATGTGCCCTGCAAATTCTATAAGGTCGGCTCCTGCACCGCCGGTTCCTCCTGTCCCTTCTCGCACAGTCTTGTCGAGCCCGGGGGACAGAAGGACGTCTGTGCTTGGTTTGTCAAGGGCAACTGCAAATTCGGTCACAAGTGCGCCCTCGCCCATGTCCTCCCCGGTCAGTCCATGGCCATGGACCGAAAGAACAAGAAGGCCGCCCAGATCGCCGCCGGAGGATCCAAGCGGGAGGGTGGAGAAGGCAGGGGTCGAGGCGGCAGCAAGCGCGAAGGTGGCGGCAATGCTACCAGGAATGGTTTACTTGCGGCGGGCCCCACGGGGTCGTCACGGGCTAGACCACCGATGAATATGCCCCTCAAGGCGACCATTTCGCCGTCCGCGCCAGCCCCGGCCCTCAAAGATACCGATTTTGCTTCGTTCGGTGTCCTGGACGAGGCGAGTGCTCTGCCCACCGCCCCTGCTCGTAACAAGTCGCCCGATCTACCCAAGCCCCCGTCGCCGACGATCCCTGTCTCTGCCCCACGCCGTCCGAGCATGTCCAGCACGTCGCCCAGCAGAGATTTTGGTCCCATCGGCTCCCCTCCATCCTCGGCGACCTCTCCTTCGTCCCGCGTCCATTCTGCAACGCCGCCAACTCAAAACGGCTTCCTCTCCACATCACCCTTCTCGGCACCCGGTACCCAATCCGTATTCCTTGGAGCCCGTCAGAATATGGGCATGGCTGCTAGCCTGGGTAGCGGCGTGGCCATGGGCGGTGGTCCCGGCGGGTGGACCAAGGGTAATGGTCGTGGTGAAATCGATATCTCGGTTGAACACGAGGATTCTGCTCCGCGGGTACGCAAAGTGGCCCGCAAGGAGTCGAGCGAAGATTTCGAGGATTTCCTTCCGAGCTCGCTGACGGACTTGCTCACCCCAGAGGAGCGCAGTCGGCGCATGTCTCGCAGTAACTCGGGGCAGGACGCGCGCCCTGGCCTTGGCGTTCCCCTCGGCTCTGGTGGTGCGACTGGAGGACACCGTTACAGTCGTTCTGTTCCGGCGCCATCCATTCTAGGCGGCGGTGGTGATCTTAAATCAATTTGGTCCACCGATCCAGGCACCACGTCCTCGGGGCTCCCCAGCTCGCCGCTACATGGATCCTATTCCTCCCAATCAGGAATGGCTTTTGGTGGGCGCGAAGCGCAGCCCTCGTCATCGTTTGTCGATGACCGCGGTCTAGGCATGCGCGGGCTTTCCCCTAGCAATGCCAGCGCGGCTTTCCTTCCCGGCATTCACCACTATATTGCGCAGAACAAGCGCCCCGCCATGTCATCCAATCCCGGCTCTTCCAATAATCTCAACGTCACCTCGGCCAACGGTCTCAATAACAACTTTTCGTCCAATGCCGCGCTCCAAGGTCCTCCCGGTATCGCCCACTATCTCAACTCTGGCCCCTCGGGCGTAGCGGCCAGTGGCAATGGGAATGGGAGCCCGTACGTGCGGCCGAATCCCTTTGACCTCACGCAGGCGATGCACCAGCCCTCTGCAGGGCCACCAGGACTGCAGGGTGCGGGTGGTTTGGGGCCCAACGATACCCATATTCTCTCTCCAAATGCCCGTGCACTACAAGCGCATGCTCCAGGACAGAGTCTACCGCAGGGCTTGGCAGCAGGGTACAGTCGCATTCATGCGTTGCCCCCGCTTGCCGCGGGTTCTCCATCGCCTGCCGCCTTCTCCCCGGGTGTCACACAGGCTGTCGGTATCACCACCAGCGGCTTCGGAGGCCGCGACTGGTCGACGATGAGCCCGGGAAGTGTCAGCGGCAGTCCGGGCATGGGATTCTTGTCCAGCGCGCTCAACAACAGTTCCAACACCACGCCGCAAGCTGGGCAGAAGGGCCTTTCGCCACCCGCCGCTCCCACCCCAGATCAAAACACGATTATGGGCAGGCTTTCATACTCTGCCATGGCCACCAAAGCTCCAGCGCAGATCCAACGCAATGCCAGTGGCGGGGCGGGGTCGAGATGGCAGCAGCCGACGACGAGTCCACGGACGATGCCTGCACGGGGCAACGGAGACGACGACGATCAGCTGTTCACGCTGGACGAGTAGAGACCTCTCGCCGTTTGCCTATCTACTCAACTAATTTCTCTTGCTTCCCTGTTTTCTGATCTGTTACGACGCCCACGATGTTGCTACATATCTCATCTACCTGTTGTGCCACCTTCTGCTTATCTCCATCTATCTATTTATCCAATCCTCTCGCTGCTGGCGTGGCGCAAAAAATCAAACTATTAGTACATCAATTGACAAACTAGTTCCTTCTCGCGGTTGACATTGTAACAAAAGTATAGTCAATTACAAGCCAAACGCCTCGACATGCAGGTTGATACTGGGTCCGCTGCCGGCCGCGCGCAAAGCCCAACGTGCATGATCCGCCATTTCTGTAGTTCCGCAAACTGGAGAAAGAATGAAAGTGGGCTTGCACGGTACTCGGAGAACGCACCGTTGACTGACATGGCACACGAGGTGCTCCCAACTTGAGAATGCACGATTTCTGCGATATCGGGCCGACCGGAAAGAATGCGCACGGCTGGTGAATCGAGCAGCTTGAGGTCAGATGTGCTGCCGTCGCTCTTCTCGGCGTCAGATGCACTGTCAGCGATGCCTGCCGTGATGTGGATCCGAATATCGAGGAGAAGAGAATCGGGAACACCATCCAGAGCCTTTGAAAGATCTCCCGAAATGGCCCGGATGTGCTCTGGAAGAAGGGTGAGCTGAGTTTGAGAGTTGCCTGCACCACAAACCGGCATGACGAATGGCCCAGATGAAAACAATCCTTTGGCATCTCACATTGGTTCCCAGATGCGCGGACCTGGAGTGACTTGATCAATAAAAATAGCCATCCAAGTCAAGATCTCGTACTTTATCAGGTCCAGTAGCAAGGGCAGGGTGAACGAAACGCCCGATCCACCTGAAGGATGCATTGGCTCAGTATTCGCGGGCAGAGAATCGTTCTCACCAGAGATCAAGAGGACCGTCTCGAATCCTTTCACGGAAGGGGGGGAGGAGTATGGGCCGTCGATGTAGGCGCGGAAACCCTCGGTTGAGCTCGAACTCGCCGCATGAAGAAGCCGTTTGGTGAACCCGTCATGGACACGAATAAGGAAGACGATCTTGTTGCTTTCGACCATTTCAACGGACCCCTTGTCGCTGGATTCGTCCCTTGTCAGAAAGATACCGGAATCGATGCTGGCGATGGTGAATGGGTGTCCTTCCCAGGGCAACGCGCTGACACTGGGAATCGAAAGATACGCGAGCTGTCCGGGGGCCCATTTCAAAAAGCTTGGACGCTGAAGCGACACTCGTAGGAACTGAGGTGATATGACTTCGATTTTGGCGCGGAATGATTTGGATGCCTTTGTGCGGAGCAGAGTCGCGAGTCCCCCGTTGATAAGGAAGATGCGTATGAGACGCAAGCAGCGATCTGCACAGAACAGCAGGAGGGAGGGCAGGATGTAATATCCCAGACTGATGCTTTGCTCAAACGGATGATGAAATGCAAGTAGGACTTGACTCACCCGTTGGCGTCAGCGTGGTAGTACGCCCCGCCAAGCGCGATCCTACAAAAATGGTCAGCAAGGACAAGACATGCGCCATGTTTCAGCTTACGCTCCCAACGAAAAGTGCACGACAAGGAACAGTTCGTAGCCACGACTGCGCAAGGGCTTGACAGAGAAAATGCATAAGAGTGTGAGGGAAGAGAGGGCCATGATGCCGCATCGGAACCACGTCTCTTGAAGGTCTTCAAGGTTTCCTTCTCTGCCACTGTGCAGCCGTCGTGTGAGATGAGGTTCGAGATCCAACTGATGACCCACTTTTCTATGATCTGCTCATGCGAATTAGTTCCTTTTTTTCGAAACAAAAATACAAGTGCCCACATGACCAGAAGCATGGGCCCAGAGCACGGCACAGATTACCCTGGCCACAATGCGATGGAGAATATTCAGCTACGAATTCATCAGTGAAAGTCGTAGCTTGACGGCTCGAAAGTACTTTGTCGAAACTGATCCCTGTGAGATCTAGTAACAAACGTGAGATCACTCGTGGTGCCCGTTATAACCGACTCACAAGCCAGGATGTTGTCCTTCATGCCTAGAACAACCAAGAGGGGCAGCTGAGTTGCCGCAATAATGGCCATACGGTTCGCGTAGTACGATGGGGACCAATGGACGCCCGCGATGCTCGTCGCTAGAAACTGAGTGAGCAAAAGATTACAGGGACGGGTTCAGCTGACTGTTAATGAACCCCCAGGTAAACAAAAGGGCAATGTAGGCGCATGCGAGGAAGAACTCGGTCAAATTGAGTCTGTAGGATCGGCCAAAATGGATGATGACGCGAAAAGCGACGTTTCGAACAAAATTGACGATAGTGGTGGGGAATCGGAGGGGAGAGGCTGGAGATGGGGTTCTAGAGCGTGCAAAGGAAGTGATTCGAGTGACGAAGTGCACGAGGGAGAGCAGGACGATG